CAACCCCTATTGCCCAAAACCCAACCGCCATCCCCCAAAACCCAACTCCCACCCTCCAAAACCCAACCCCCATCCCCCAAAACCCAACCCCCGTCCATCAACCCCAGCAGTTGGGTTCATCTCCAGGTCGAACTGCTGGTATTGCAATAGCTGTATTACTTATTGTTGTTGGGGTGTCGATAGTCTTGATCTGGTATTATAAAAGAAAGCGACCGGGAAATACAACTTGGATACACAGAGGAACAATGGCTCTACAAAACACCCAAATCCAAGGAACAGTGATGAAGGACCCACAACAATTTTCTGGCTTTAATAATCCTATGCAACAACAACAGGGGGCTGGATTTGCCATAGAGCAAAATCCGTCACAAAATAATCCTCAAAACAACCAAGCCCCTATGTATGCAAGTCCAAATCAACTCGATGACGAAGGATATGTGATTGCCAAAGACAGCTGTATTGATCATACCTATGAGAATCCGGATCAAGTGAAAGATACTATCGAGCAGCAAGGTTATCCCCAGCTATATCCACAGAGTGCCTCCAATCCTCATCCTTATAACCCTCATTATCCTGGTAATTACCCTTGATATCCTTTACTTTCCATACCAGTGTTCTGGGTAATGTTTCTTATAACATTTTAAAGCATATAATAGCTTATTCTGCCTTACGATTTCATATTTATTATATACCAGTACTCTTGATAACATTTTTGTAACATTTAATAGAAGCGTACAATAATGTGCACACGTAAAAATCTCACAACTTTTCAATACGATGTGTTCGCAACAGGCTTGTAGCAAGCTTGTCAAAAAGTTGTAACAATGCATGTTGTTATTTTATCAAGTTGTTACAGAGTTGTTGCTCACAACTTGTTAACAAATTGGTGAATTGCAGGACAACAACAATTTGTTGGAACAACTTGTAACAAGTCTGTTGAGCTCAACAACCTTGTAGCAAGTTGTCAACAATTAAGCCGTTGACAACTTGTCAACAAAAGCTGGGAACAAACTATTCGAACACAACCTGTTGACAAGTTGTTGGAACAGCACTGCTACATGTTTATTGCAGGTTTGTTACAATTTGTGTGTTTTTACATGTGTAGAACATGCATCAATATTTAATCTGATATAAAATTTAAGAGCTAGTGGCCTGACTGGGGGATCTTAAATATAGGATGTCAGTTGTTAGTTGTAATTTTAGTAAGATATCTTGTGGGATGTTGTAAAATGTCGGTTCCAAGTTGTTTTTCATCGTTTGTCAGCTATCTCTTGAAATATTTTGTTAGAACAGTCAGTTACAAAATGCAATTTTATCGATTGTCAGCTATCAGTTAAGATATCTTCAGGGACGCCGGAACTGGGCGGAGGGGAGGGGGGGGGGGGAGGAGGGGCAGCCGCCCCTCTGGATATCTTTAATACCAGTTTTGGTAACTGAAAAATACGGACTATTTGAGCATCAACTTGATCTCATTCAGGCTATGATTTAAACGTATAACCTTCATATATTTAGTCATTTTATAGGTTTCATATTACGTTAGTTCTTGTCATAGGAGTTGACTGTTTTAGACAAACTTGTAATTTTATTATATATTCATTCCTTTACTGCAGGAAACGCGAATGTTTTGGTGAAAGCATTCTTTTGTATGAATGCATATTTGCTGATATATTTACTGATATATACTTTTTACACTCCATCGTGGCAAGTAATTTATGTATTCATTGTAATTAATTTAGAGGGTACAACATCAGTTATTTCGTTGTTTAAAAGCATGTTAGCCTTTTTAAACAATGTCCTAAAAGTTTTGCAAGTTATACCCATTTTCAAACTTATATGCGACTATAGGCCAAAAATAATCCGATATGTAAGTTTTTATAAAATTGTTTTACGTCAATCCGAAATTCAAAACAATATTTGCAACTAGAGAAAGGGACCATACTAAACTGAGTGTGGAGAGATGACAGATAGTTGTTGGTGACAAAAAGTTTGGTGTGGTGTCGTATGTTATAGTAGGGGTTATTTTCCCCCAGAAAATGTTTGTATTTTTCCACCCCTAGGGGAGACTGCATTTCGTGTGTTTTCTGAAACAGATTTTTGGGTAACAGCGTTATATTATACTGTAGATAGAATGAATCTTCACAGGGGCGTCGGAGCAGCTCGAGGTACACTTAGCGGTCGCCGAAGGCAGGTGACAATCCAGGGGGTTCGGAGGCATGCCCCCCCGGAAAAAAAATAAAATTAGAGTGTCTGAAATGCCATTTCCTGCACTTTAGACGGAGATTTACGGAGTTCTAAAAGTAACAAAATGTCATAAATATCTCAAACTATTTTGTCCACACTGATCGAAATAATATCATTAATTTTGTGGTTTATTATTGACCATTGTTAAAAAGTAGGAGGCCCAAAGACATTTAGGCCCCCACTTCCGATGTCCCTGAATCTTCAGTACGTTAAGTACTTGCATGGTATGTTTATGTAAATGATACCACAACTCGGTCACCAACTTATTTATAGCCTAGCTTTCCAACAATTCAAATCTATAGGGTCTGGGATATGCTATACACTTGGACATTTTTTAGAATCTAAGGTATTTACAACACAATGTTTAGCATTTTTAAAAAGTCATTGAATCATTTGAAGATAAAGACAGGACATCAGATTCACAAAGCAAGGTTTAGTTACAGGGTTCGTAGCGGTCTTTGAAATCCTTGAAAGTCTTGAAATCCTTGAATGCAGGTCTTTAAGGTCTTTGAAAAGTCTTTGAAGTGTGTGAAAAAGCGAAGAAAGTCTTTAAAAGTCTTTAAATTCTTTAGTGATTATTTGATTATACGATTTCTTAGCTAATAAAATAGATTGATTGAAGCAAGATTTTCGCAAACATCGACGAAAAAGTGCATTTTAGGATGTGATTTGACGGGACTAATTACCTGGTAAAAATGGTGCCTATACATCGCAATTTTTCGACACCTGATTGTTCTCAAAGGTCTTTGAAAAGTCTTTGACAATAGGCAGAAAAACTCTTTGAAAGTCTTTGAAATGTTTTGGTCTTGGAGACTACGAACCCTGAGTTACTAAAATATCAAACCTCCCTTCCAAATTCAATTTTCCTTCCAATGTTTTCCTTGTATTTCAGAGAAAAGGGACTTTGACTGGGGGAGGGGCAAAGTGGTTGAGTGAGGGAGAGGGGATGCCTAAATAATGAAGGTCGCAGCTCAACCGGCTGATCGAGTCGAAGGCTTACTGCCTGATCACAGGGCACAGTTACGAGGGAAGGTTAGTTTGGGGCTAATCCCAACCCACCCTGTCAACATTCATTGTGGGAGGAAACCCTCCCACAATGAATGTTGACAGGGTGGGTTGGGATTAGCCCCGAACTAACCTTCCCTCGTAACTGTGCCCTGTGATCAGGCAGTAAGCCTTCGACTCGATCAGCCGGTTGAGCTGCGACCTTCATTATTTAGGCAGTTCAAAAATAATTGATGTACTTCCAGGGAGAGGTCTTCAATCTTACATTACTCTCTCCTTGTTATTTGTGTATATATCTGCATGCCACATGTGGAATAATTTTCTCTTTCAGATTGTCCACGACCAAATTTTACCTGTCGTGGTTGTACGACGGCTGTTACATCGACCTGGTTTTTTATCATGTAAGTTTAAAAAAATAGAGGTTACTGGAAATATCCCTTATTCTCAGCCTGACTGATATAGTTATACACCCTTTTCATAAATGGCTGCCGATTAAAAATTCTTTTATGTGCATATAAATTGGCCCAATTAACTAGCCTCGTACTCGTGTTAAGATTTCAAACGAATTTCTACCCAGAAACGAGGCTAGTTGGGCCAATTTATATGCACATAAAAGAATTTTTAATTGGCAGCCATTTATGAAAAGGGTGTATTAGTTAGTTCTTCTACCGCTTATGTAAAGCTTATTTTACATTGACAATAAAGATATGTATATGTTCCGATACAGTTGCAGTATGAAACAGTTTAAACAGGCTTCATCATAGACAGTTCGTAATTAAATTTTAGCCCCCCCCCCCCCTACATCCGAATAAAAAAACTCGTCCACAGCCTATGTCTGAAGTATATATAGGTATATCAGTTTATATCTTCGATTTGATTCCTTCATGAAAACCTATATAAATTCAATAAATAATAATGTTGAGGCAATTCATGAATATAATGGTACGTACTAGTACTAGTACTACGCTAAATGTATAATTCTTCAAATAGTCCAGGGTCATATTATATTGGAACTTAAATTGCTCATCATGCAGTTGCGTTTTATGGGCAACACGATAAAAAAGTTGATGAATTTTAAAATTTACACAAGAAATTTCCAACAAAGTGATCTAAAGACATTGCATGCAGTCCTCGCTGATTCATTCGATTTATTTATTATCTATAATTATTCGCTCTTGTTTCTTTAGAACGTTGGGCAGCACCATTAAATTATTCGTTGGTTGGTAAAGAATGTAATGGTTCAAACTGTATTATAAGGATTGCAAGTTTTATACAACATTTTTTTACGCTTTCGATGTCCGCAACTTTTGGTTTTATAGTATATCCAGGCATCCAGCCAAGTTTTGCGTCATTATTTATTTTATATAGTATATATATGTAGCATATTTTACGATAAACCAATCACGGAAAATCAATCATGGCTTTATTAAGCCATCATCTACATTTGTCATTTATAGTCTTTATACACGCGTAAAATTGTAAAAATCTCAAGTCTGTCAACAAATTGTGCTCGCACTGCTTGTACGAAGTTGTCAACAAGTTTGAAACAAGCTTTTAGCAACGCTATAACTTGTAACAACTTTGTTGATTTTATCAGACTTGTTGCGGCAAGGTTGTTCCAACAAGTCCGATACAGTCATAATATAAGCATACTGTTACAACCTCGTGTGGTCGACCTTGTAACATTCTTGTCCATGACTGTATCAGACTTGTTAGAACAATCTTGCAGGTAACAAGTCTGTAATGTAATCTTGCAGGTAACATGTCAAGTAATGCCATCAAGCTTGTTACAGGTTGTTAACAGCTTGTTCCAAACTTGTTACAACAACTGGTGAAACAAGCAGTGCGAACACAACTTGTCGACAGCTTGTGAACGGATTTGTAACAACTTGTGCGTTTTTATACCTGTTACTCTTTATGAATCACGATTTAGAGGCATTGACTATTTTTAGATTTTTATGCTCTATCGTATAATTCAATTAAAATTGTTGAAGAGAGGTAGTAGCCGAGTTTTTTTAATCAACTTCGCAGTGTTTCCAATCAGATGATAAACTGCTGACATTAATTTAAAAAATACATAAACTTCCGGATCGAAAGCTTTACATAAATGTGTTGTATTCTACAAAAACAAGTCAATTATATTATGATTGTCATCATGCCACTGATAGCTATTTGAACTATCTAAAATATCATAATTTAGTCTAATTTTCAAATACGTTGTGTTTAAGATATCTGAATAATTATATAGGCTTCAATGGCGATAGATATTTCAAATATGATATACCAAACTTTATACGGCAAAACTACTGTCTGTTACATATTATACATGCAGTTGTTAAGCAACTAACTTATCGGCATCCTTACTTGCGATCGGAGCTAAGCTGAATTGAGAAGGACAAACTCAAACTGATCGAGCCGAAGACTGTCTAAAAGGGCGCCTCTGGCTACATGCCAAGTGAAAGTTTTGGCGATTTCAGTCCAACCCGGAATACGCGCTAAAAAGCCACAACTTTCGGCACAGTGTGGACTACATCTTTTGGCATGAGTGTCATGAGCGGACCGCAACGAAAATCGAATCCAGGGCTTCAGAAATGAAAGGCGCTTGATCACTAATGCACTAATCAGAACGTACTTCCGGATCGAAAACCATTCGAAAATAATTGCTTCGTTGTTTGCAACAAAAATAACTCAATTATATTGTAATTGTCATCATTTGCCTATGGTATGCAATGTCAAAATTTGTAACAGCGTCTTGGTACTATACACTTTCTGGGAAAGTTTGGAGCACGTTGTTGAAAACGTCGAGGCGAAATCAAACATCTAGCATTCTTCGACCAATTAAGTATTATTTTTCGACCATCTTTTGGCAGAGTTTCCTTTCATTAAAAATTCATTTATGCGTTTCTCGCATATGATTAGCCGAATCCTCTGCGGAGGTGGCCGAAAGCGCGAAGGAATACAGGATTAATGAGTAACAACGTAAATTGCCTTGTTTTGTGGAAAACACCATACTTATATTTATTTAGCAATGCTTTCGATCCGTGAGTGCTAGACGTTCTCAGCCTCGCCGTGTGCAAACGCCTGCCAATCAGTCAATCACCCCGAAAACGTCTCAGTATACTCAAATAGAAATCTTCTCAACAATGAAAGCCCTGCATTTATTTTCACGATTGATAATACACGACAAGTTTTTTGTACAGTCCTTTATTTTTGTACTGAAACGGCCTCACGATCAAAAAAATTTACGCGACAATCGAACCTTTTTACAAAACAATTAAACAATCAATACTTATCGCCAGTAAATCTATTAATAAAGGAACTAATTAAAACAAAATCATGCAGCAATTACAAACTTGAGGAACATTTAAAGTAATCTTGTCGCATTCCAATTGTCATTTCGCGTCGTACGTTTATTGGTGTGCGTCATTTCTAGTCGTAAATTCATGATGGCAAGTGGACTTATTGTTTGGGTTGGGTTTTGTGTTGTTTTTTTCAAAAACATTGACTTCGTTCGATGTGCCGATGAATGCAAAACTCATGCGGATTGTACAGGCCTGCTTGCAAAATACTGCTGTGGCGGCGGTCCGCTTACGAAGCCCGAAGACCGTCCCAAGCGAGCCTGCAGAATAGGTACGTGTTTGCATAATTATTGCGAGACCGACAGTGATTGTGGCGATTCGTCGATGTGTTGCCGTTCTAATAAATGCGTAAACAAGGGTTGCTTGGGTTGTACTAAGAACTCGGATTGCTATTTCAGTTTACCTGACAAACACGTCTGTTGCAAGAAGACCTTTCCTTTCAACGAAACTGTCTGTGGCGATGATTGTATCGGTCAAACTTGTAACTCGAATGACGACTGCGCTGGAAGAGGAGAATGCTGTCGTTTGGACAAATGCGTTGACGTATGCGGCAAGTGTACTATGAATTCGGAGTGCGATTCAGATGAATACTGTTGCAAAAAGAAAAAGACTGTCGGGAATCTCGGAGATAATTGTGCTAAAAGTTGTATTGGCGAATATTGTGACACAGATGATGACTGTGGAGAACCAAGCGTATGTTGTATTTCTAACAAATGCGTGGACCGTGGTTGTTCTGGTTGTACTAAGAACTCGGATTGCTATTTCACTTTACTAGACAAGCATGTTTGCTGCAAAAAAACCTTTCCTTTCAACGAAACTCTCTGTGGTGATGATTGTATTGGTCAAACTTGTAAGTCAAATGACGATTGCGCTGGAAGAAGAGAATGCTGTCGTTTGAACAAATGCGTTGACGTATGCGGCAAGTGTACTATGAATTCGGAGTGCGATTCAGATGAATACTGTTGCAGAAAGAAAGAGACTATCGGGAATCTTGGAGATAATTGTGCTAAAAGTTGTATATGGAAGAAATGTGCCACAGATGATGATTGTGGAGAACCTGACTTATGTTGTATTTCTGACAAATGCGTGGACCGTGATTGTTCTGGTTGTACTAAGAACACGGATTGCTATGTCAGTTTACTTGACAAACATGTCTGTTGCAAGAAGACCTTTCCTTTCAACGAAACTGTCTGTGGCGATGATTGTATCGGTCAAACTTGTAAGTCAAATGACGACTGCGCTGGAAGAGGAGAATGCTGTCGTTCGAACAAATGCGTTAACACATGCGACGAAAGGTCTATTCCCATCCCGCGGCAAAACCCAACCCCCATCCCCCAAAACCCAACCCCCACCCCACAAAACCAAAGTCCCATCCACCAACCCCAGCAGTCGGATTCATCTCCAGGGCGAACTGCTGGTATTGCAGTAGCTGTATTACTTATTTTTGGTGGGGTATCGATAGCCTTGATCTGGTATTATAAAAGAAAGCGACCGGGAAATGTAACCCAAGTACACAGAGGAACAGTGGCTCTACAAAACACCCAAAGCCAAGGAACAGTGATTAAGAACCCACAACAAAACCAACAGTTTTTTGGTTTTAATAATCCTATGCAACAACAACAATGGCCTGGATTTGCCATTGAGCAAAATCCGTCACAAAATAACCCTCAAAACAACCAAGCCCCTATGTATGCAAGTCCAAATCAACTCGATGACGAAGGATATGTGATTGCCAAAGACAGCTGTATTGATCATACCTATGAGAACCCGGATCAAGTGAAATATACTATCCAGCAGCAAGGTTATCCCCAGCTATATCCACAGAGTGCCTCCAATCCTCATCCTTATAACCCTCATTATCCTGGCAATTACCCTTGATATCCTTTACTTTCCCCACCAGTATTCTGGGTATAATATTTCTTTATAACATTTTAAAGCATATAATAGCTTATTCTGCCTTACTACTTCATATTTATAATACACCAGTACTCCTGATAACATTTTTGTAACATTAGGAGCGTACAATAACGTGCCACGTAAAAATCTCATGCACAACTTGTCAACCGAAGATGTGTTCGCAACAGACGCAACAGGCTGTAGCAAGCTTGTCAACAAGTCCTAACAATGTTGTTATTTTATCAAGTTGCTACAAAGGTGTCACTCACAACTTGTTATCAAGTTGTTGAATTGCAGAACGATTTGTTGGAACAACTTATAACAAGTCTGTTGAGCTCAACAACTTGAGCTTGTCAACAAGCCGTTGACAACTTGTGGACAAGCTGGGAACAAGCAATGCAAACACATCCGATCCTGTTGACAAGTTGTTGAAACAGCATTGCTACAAGTCTGTTGCAGGTCTGTTACAACTTGTGTGTTTTTACGTGTGTAGAACGTGCACCAATATTTAATCTGATATAAAATTTAAGTATGGCTTGATGGGGATCTTTAATATAGGATGTCAGTTAATGTTAGTTGTTTTTAGTAAGATATCTTGTGGGGTTTTGTGGGGTGTTGTAAAATGTCAGTTCCAAAATGCAATTTCATCGATTGTCAGCTATCAGATAAGATATCTTACCCTCGATCTTACCAGTTTTTGGTAAAAATACGGACAATTTGATCTTCCACTTGACCTCATCCAGGCCATCATTTAATTTAAACGGATAACCTTAATTTTTAGTTATTTTATATATTACATACGTTAGTTCTTGTACGAGTTTTCTTGTCATAGGAGTTGACTGTCTCAGATAAACTCGTAATTTTATTGTATATTCATTCTTTTACTACAGAAAACGCGAATCAGTTAATTTGTATGAATATATGACAATATTTACTCTGATATGTTCTTTTTACACTTCAGTGTGGCAAGTAATTTAATATGTATTCATTGTAATTAATTTAGAGGGTACAACATCAGTCATTTTGTTGTTTTAATGCTGATGTATGTTCGCCTTTTTAAATGTCCTAAAAGTTTTGCAAGTTGCATAATTATACCCATTTTCAAAATGATATGTGACTAGCTCAAAAATAATCCGATATGTACGTTTTTATAAAATTGTTTACGTCAATCCGAAATTCGAAACAATATCTGCAGATGAACAAATTACGTGTCATATAATACGTAAGTGTGTGACAACTTCATTACAACTTCATCTCCGAAAGTTTGGAGCCGGCCATGAGAAACAAGACAAGTAGTATAATCTGTGCGTACATCTCAACCTCCCAGGGTCTTACCTGGGTACGAGGTTGCATACATCTTGGGAAAGTTAGATATATAGCGGGAAATGCATGGGTATTTTAATTGATGAAATATTGAACTTTTTATTGCGGCGCATTTGTATTTGCTCTAGTGACCATGAGATATGAGTGACCTGATACTTCGCAATCAATTTGAAATAACCATAAAAGTGAAAAGATTAAAATGTCGGTTTGAAGCATCACATACACTAGGAAGAGTTACCATTTAAGAATTACTTTTGTAATTTTGTATTCTTTTGTATTTGGGGGAGGGGGGTATTTCAAACTTAATAACCCTAATCCTAACGCTTACTCTAATCCAAACCCTAATCTTAATCCTAACCCGTTTCTAAATTTGGGCTATTCCAATTATTATCCGCACCCCCCCTGTTGAGGAACCCCTTTCTCATGTCGGTACTCCCCTGGAATTTCCGCAAATTTTCATGTAAAATTTACCCCTTCCCATGGAAATTCCTTGTAAAAATTACCCTTCCCCATGGAATTTCCATTCTAAATTAGGCCTTCCCCATGGAATTTCCATTTAAAATTTGGCCCTGTCCATGGAATTTCCATATGTAAATTACACCTCCCTATGGAATTTCCATCATGGGACATTTACTCCCGGAAATTTCCCTCTAACATATGTCCTCCCATGGAATTTCCATCCCATCAAATTTACCCCTCCCTTTGGAAATTCCATGTGAGAATTACTCCTCCCCTTGGAAATCCAGAGCCTGAATGCCCCCTTCCCTGGAAATTCCAGGGTTAATGCACCCCCTCCCCTGGAGATTCCAGGGTTAATGTATTCCCTCCCTTGGAAATTTAAAGTTAATGCACCTCTCCCCTGGAAATTCCAAGGTTAATA